TTACCATTGACACTCTGTTACTGTTCATATATTCAAGTGAAAGTTGTATGACGTAAAGTATTGGCGACTAAAAATTTTGGTTGTTTGAAATAAAACTTTAATGGTGTTTGTAGTGATTATTCAAATAGAGTACACGGTAAAAAAAAGGATGAGAAGAAGAAGAAAAAGAAGAAGAAGAATATGAACACACACGCTAGGGGGAGGGGAGTAGAGGGGGTAGAGATTTTTTGAGACGGGGGGTATTATTGTACCAACTCCAATAGTTTAGGGGCAGGTTTGACCTTTTTTCGTTATTTTAATTTAGGTGAATTTTAAGTTAGGCCAATGGGACGATGACACGTGGAAATTAATTAAGTTTTTTTACCTAAAAGGGTTGTTAGTCGTAAGGTCAGTCTTGAGCCGAAAATATAACGGCGAGGGTAATTTTTGCAAAATAGGTGGACGAGGGGTATTATTGTACCAACTCCAATAGTCTAGGGGCAGTTTTGGCCCTTTTTCGTACAAAGTTAAATGATCACCAATAAAAATTACTCATAGAATCACTGTCATATCACCACCAAAAAATATAGTAGGATAGTTAAGTCCATTTCACCTTTAATCAGAAGTTTGGGGTTTGAGTTCTGAAAATTTTTTAGATAAAAAAAAGTTCAATAGAAAATGTTTTTCTATTTACGCAATATAAATTTGAATTAATCAAAAATCTAATACGACTATCGGAAATCTAATACGAATATACCGAATAAAAAAACAAAATAGAATCACTATCCTATCTGGTTCCAAAATAGATCTCAATTAAAAGAGAAAACGATAGGACCATATACCCAACTCCCATGTGGTTAGTCACTTAGTTGATACGTGAGTCACCCCTCCATTCGAGAGGAAAAGATGGTTTGGCTCCCGTCTAGATGTCCCGGTCAAGGTGTGAGACGTTGATCAATGTGGATTTAAAAAAGGGTAGAAATTAGGCTAACTAAATACTTGAAAGATGTGATTAGGCGGGACATGTCATTGCTTCAGCTTACATAGGATATGACTCTTACTAAAAAAGTGTGAAAGTGGATGATTAGGGTTAAAGGTTGACAGGTAGCCGTAAGTTTCTCCTAGGCTTACTAGCGGTATTAGTACTATTCTTGTATTTTCTTATTCTTGGTTCTTTATTATACACGTTGTGTCATTCGCTTCCATCACCCTATTACATTATTGTTGCTATTATTTGTTGCTTTATTTTTACTATTCCTTGAGCCGATGTGCCATCGAAAATAACCGATCTACCTTTATAAGGTAGGGATAAGGTTTGCGTATACAGTATGCTTTCCAGACCCTACTTATAGAATTATACTGGGTTTGTTATTGTTATTGTTGTTAAAAGATGATTTTCGATAAATATGAAGAAGAATTTGTGGTCAATTTATCCGGCTATTCATCTCCATTTTTGTTTAATTTTCTGGGTGATATCAGTTACCAAGTGGCGTTGCAAAGTGCTGGACTCCACGAACCAATTGTAACATAGATACTAAGAAAATAAAGATAAACAATTTGATTGTTATAAATAAATAAAGAAAGGGAAAATGGCAGATAATACTTTCAAATGAACTGGAAAGAAAATCGCCTTAGATTGCAAGTTGGCTTGAGATTACCTCTAGTAATTAAACTTTAAAACAGAAGAAGAAAAACCTGTGAAATCCTAAATCCTTTTCGAATCGCAACAAATTAAAAAGTAAAATGTCTTACTGCAGCTATTCTTTTTTTGATCCCATTAATATAATCTCCTACAGTTTTTCTTATCGAGACATCTTTTTTTTCATTGTTCCATAAGAAAAGTGAAAAAAGAAAAAGAACTGAACAAGGAGACTGGATAAGCTTATGTGCAGTCAACAAGGGAAATGATGGAGAAAGTACAAAGAGACGATGAAAAGATTGATGCCCACTTCATTAAATCAATTTCATAAACATGTAATTTTTTACCGAGATTTTACATATTTAAATGTTTAAATATTCAGTTTAGATCTAATATAACTATTTCAACTAATTTTGACTCTTACTTTAAATTCGAAAATACAAAAAAAATAATTTTTGCTTTGTCTTATTTTATATTTAAGCTAAGATCATTAATATTCTTGTAGCAGTACTATTTTAGTTTACTATATTTTAACTTATATTTATCTACTTTTATAATATTTGAAAATACCAACAAAAAAAAATGTTTCACTTTTAATTTTTAATTCTTACATTAATCAATTAGGAGTGATTTTATATTTTTACAAATACTTTTTACTAATTTGGAAGAAACTTTGATTTATTAATGAAATTTTCAATTCTTCTTGTCCAAATGGAGCCCAATTTCAAACTCACTACCAAAGTGCAATTTCAATACCTTTATTACAAACCAAAAAGAAGACCGGTCTTCTTCTCCTACACACTGAACTAAACCTAAGAGACCCCAGCCGCCCACCTTCTTCTTCGTCCATATTCCAGCCATCTCCCAGGCGTTTCCATCATCATCTTCAACAATTGCATACCTCCGTCTCCAGCCGTCCGCCTCCGGCCATTTCGCCGGGATTCGNGGTTTTCGATTTTGGTTCCAACTTTCTTCTTCTGATTTTCGACTCGAGTTCATTCACATATAGATACATATAAAAAAAATTCAGTTCCTTGGAGTTTTAATTTTTGTCTTCAAGTCCGAAAAATACAAAACAAAATTTAGTTTCTTATCTGATGGTTGGATTCAATGGTCTATGTTCTTAATCCGGGAGGTTATTGAGATTTGAAGTTCCTTGGGAGATTTGAAGCTGAGTTGAGGTGCCTTGCGTATTTCGCTTCGTCGAGTTTGAATCATTTTGCTGTTATTCTTTGCAATTGGATTCAATAGATTCGAGGTCTTGTACTTGCATCTTCCTAATTAACCGAAAGTTTCACACATTAAGGTTTATCTAAACTCTTCTCTTTTTATTTGTTTGATCTCTATGTTTGCATATTGTTTTTTAATATAAGTATTGGTTCGTTTGTCTTGGTGAACTTCTATGTTAAGATACTGTCAAAATTTCTATGGCAATTTCGGATGCAAACGAAAGTCGCCGGATCAGTTTTCAAATTAAGTTACGATCCAATTTTTGCATCTGTTCACCTTCGTTAATCCCTTTAGCATCGTCCATGGATAGGATTTCTATCTAAGAAGAGAGTTGTTGGAGCTCCAAAATATTTATCAAGATAATTAAGTCCAGGATCCATGTGTTGGTTCAAACATTCAAAGTCTTAAAACGATTTATTTAACAAATTAGATTTTTGTCTCTTTATTCTTGGCTAATTATTTTAGGCTTTGTCCAAGTTAGATTGGTATCATTCAATGCAAAATGATTCATTTGATAATAGCTTAAGCTGGTGTTTGAATATAATCTTTGGTAAAGCAATTCTAGTATATTTTGTAGTGATATCTCTTTAGATCCTAAGTTTATTAGTTAAAAGATCACCAATACTCCTCTGCCATTAACTGGGTCTAGCCTTCTATTTGATATATAAGTTTAAATTTAAGTTTAGATTGGGATATCTGATATGACTAAGTTTGGAGGCTAATAAATCAGCTGGGGAGGATGTAGTATCTTTAGTAGCCCTTTTCATAGCTTTGAGTACTTCTGTTATGTCTTTTCCTTCCTTAGCTTCTATTTTCTTCAGTGATTAGAATGCGTGTTTGTCCATGTTCTCGTTTTTTTTTAACATTGTTTGGATGTATAAAATACTTGCCTGAAATTGGACTTTCTGCTAGTACCATGCTTAGGCCGACCATACTGGGTAGGCAAGCCTTAGGATTTTTATTAGTTTTGAGGCGAGAGGTCGTTCTCTTAGTTAAATTTATTCGGGGAATGACCCGAAGGAATTGTACATATTTATTTCGGGGAATGCCCCGAAGTACATGTAAATGAAGGCCAGAGATTGGATGACGTGAGGAAGCGTAGAATAGAACTTTAATATTTTCTGTTATTTATTTTTATCTTTTTAGGTGGGGATGACCTCTAGCCTCTTGTGTGTTTATTTTGTTTTTGTGTTTTTACCTCAATTGAATATTTTAAAAGCCGACTAGATCAAGTATGCAACCGTATTAGTTACGGGACTTGGGGAGTGCCTAACACCTTCTCCCCGAGTCAAATGAACTCCTTACCCGAATCGCTGATACAGACTTAGTTTTGGAGTCCAAAGTGTTTTAAAGGAAAAATTATTTTGAAAAACGGTGACCTGGCACACCGAAATCTATGTCAGCTGGCGACTCTGAGTTATTTCCTTTTGAACACAAATTTTTATCACGTTCTAATTAAAAAATCCTTTTCAAGCTTTATTAAATCCTTTTATTTAATTTAAGAGGTTTAAGTGAAGTTGGTAAAAAAAAAAAGGTGTGACAGTTGGTCATTTGCACTAGTAGCTGGGAAAGATTAGGTAACTAGAGCGCCTACTTGCCGTTATATTACTTCTCAAGAAACCAAACATGTGAATATTCCATTCAGACCAGTTGCACATAGGATTAGCCTGAGGGTGTTGTCTAGTTATATTAGGGTCACCAATCACTTTTCTGCCTCGGATTTACAATTTGTTTGGAAGGTTGAAATAGTCGTTTTCTAATGTATCATATAATATTGTACTGGATTATACTGTATTGTTTTGATGTATATAATATTTGAATAAATTGTATTATTTTCCGTTGTTTCATAATGTCATACACCAACAATATGAATAATAAACTTGTAATATTATAAAAAATAAAATAAGGTACGAGGTAATTAGCATTATTATATAAATAGATAGGGTAAAGGATAAATTAGGATTATTTAATAATATGGAAGGCAAGATGAGAGGGAAAAAAAAATAAGGAAACTACTTTACCACACCAAATCGGTCGTTCCATAAAATGACACTTTTCGTCGTTACGTAACGACAAATTTAACGATACGATACAATAAAATTTAAATAACAATCAAAACAAATATTGTATATAAAGTAACAATACGGTACAATACAACATGTAACAACCATCCAAACAAGCTGTTAGACCAAATTTGTCTCTGTACCAAATTTTGCATTTCAAAATGTTAAAGTGTAGGGGAGTAAAATCTTACAAGCCCTGTTCGAACCTCAAATAGTAAAAGACTAATCTCAGGGGAAAACCTCAGTATCCTCTTGTTTATTTTGAAGCAAAAAAAGATAGAGAGGTCAATGAAAAATCACAAGAGCCCATTGAACAAACAAAATTTATCAACAAAGGAAGTAAAGAATTGGCCAGATTGTAATACTACTATACTTAGAAGATTCATTGATGCCTATGAAAGTTGTTTATCTTGGTCAGGGGCTGGTGCTGTCCAATACTGCTTAGTAGCAATTAGAAGCTTTTCCCTAACATGAGGACCGCCTTCATGATCAACCATCCTGCTATCCCATTGTAGTCCATCTATTATGCTCTTCACATTTACCAAAACATCTACGTCGTCTCGGAAAATTACACTGCCTTGTGGCCTTAATATTCTGTCCATTTCCAATAATATATCTTCCATTTCACATCTGCATACATAGACGTAAATCAACTATCAAGAGAACATGCAACATTCAATGGTTGCTCAGGGAATATGAATCATCCAACGGTTACCTGTCCTGGTAGAGGCTGAAAACAGAATCAGCATGTATGAAGTCATAAGTTCTAGGATACGTAGACATGGCTTCGCACCTAAATGAAAAGAGCATCATCAGTAACAAGCAGGAAATGGCAAAAACAAACTTTCCAGAGGAGCAGTGGGCTTACCAGCTTTGGTATGTCCCAATCAAACCACGTTCATAGATAACTCCGAGGGTGTTGACTTCAGCCTCAACAGGGACGACATTCATGACCCAAACTGGATCATCAACAAGTGCAGCTGCAAATCCTCCCAACCAAGCATTCATGTCAAGTATGTTACGGTACCTTCCACGTTCTGCTAATTGGAAGTCCAGGGCCTTGTAGTGGGCGACTCTCTTCTTCCACAATTCTGTGTCTTTAGAGAAGCCCTCTGCAGTAACTCCCTCAATACTTCCACTAGCAATCCTAGGAGGGACGGCAGTCAATCTTTCCGGCCAATTCGCCAGTGGCCCTCCAGCAATATCTCTAACATTAGACACTTCAGGAAGGGGATTTAAACAAGCATCAATCTTGGTGTACCTGGAACATTGAAGAGTCTTCAATAAAATACATTAGGGAGTACTACCTAATTCTATACTTCATCTAGGACAGGTAACATAAATTTCTAGACTAAGTTGATCAAATAGTTCGGTATTACCGACAAAAGTGTAGAATATTGTTAAACAGCTTCAAAGAAAAATTAAGTGACAAGAGGTGTGGAATAACATAAATTAGTTCCAATGTGACACAGACCATCAAAATAGTTCCAATGTGACACAGACCATCACTTTCCCCATCAAAATGTATCGTACCCATAAAGTGTTTTGAGATGAATATGACAAAAGATTCCCTCCAAGGCTTAGCGAGTCACTCACCCTTTTCATTTGACAGTCCCAAAAGAGACAAAGAATAAGCATACAGCATCACATTCTTAGAGTAAAAATATTGAGAGCGGAATGGATTTCTTGCTGTTCGTTTCAGTCCTGCTCCAAAAGGCTGATGCACCTAATGATCTCTTAGAGATTTTGTGTAAGTGAAAGCGTAACGTGTCATGCGCTGCAAGAATGGGGACTGGGGAATGACAAGGAAATCCTCTAAAATCTAACCTTGGTTGAATTATAATCATTCAGTACATAGGACATTACCATGCTTTGTCTGGATCTTGTTCCTGGCAAAAGGGTGGCTTCCTGAAGACCTTCCGGTTAATTTTGCAATGCATATGATTAGTAGGCTTCTGCCAAATTGCTAGTTCGCCTTTCTGAGTTACTTTCTTCCAGCATAGGCTTCTCGCAACGCTCTCAATTTGATCCTGCTCTGCTTTCAAATCTTCGGCTGTTCTATTCCAGCCCTTCCAGTGATTTTCCCAGTTTATAGGTGGTCCAGAAAGAATCCAGTACCCACCAGGACGTAAAATTCGATCAACTTCAATTAAATACAGCCCATCTGCTCCATATCAAATGGATAATTAAAATGATCAATCTTCCTTTAGAGGACATACAAGATAAAATGAGCAAAATTAATTCGAAGTTATGTAATTTAGATTACCATATCGTCCCCAAGGGATGAGGCAGCGAGAACAATGCGCCATATCAAAAGCTCTTGCAGGGTAAGGCAGCCTTTTAGTAGCTAAAATACCAATCAATGCCGGAACTCCTCGCTCAAGGGCAAATTGAACTTGAGCTTCATGTGTGTCTTTTGGCGCAAATGAAATTGGTAGGATGTTTCGAGAGAGCAAGTAAGCACCCCAACTTGCAACCTGAACTTGTACATGGTAAAATTAGCCTCATATGGTGGGGGTCAAGAAATAGAACAAGAAAACTCACTTAGTTGGAATAATTAGCAAATGGTTCACTCATTCTAAAGGCTCTGTAGCTTGTTCTTTTGGGGCAGTAAATTTTTAAACTGCCTTGAGGGCACCTCTAAATCAGCACAATAGTTTAATGATTTTAAATATTAATATACTTCAACTAAATTTGCACCAACAGTTATGTAGTTGTTCCTGTGGGAATCTTCTAATATAGGGTCTAAAAGAGGTTAGCATGGACTCTTTCTACTAGCTGTAATGGTATTAGATAATTTTGCTCAAAATTTGGATCCTAAGAGTTTTTGGCAAAAATCATCCTTAAATTATAACTCAAAGCAAGGGTACATCCTTGTCTTATCCTAGTAAACAAAAACCATCCTTATACTATTTAAAAAGTTGCAAGAATCATCCTTCCATTAAATTTTATCACAAAAACTAACAACAATCATCATCAAAAGACCATGTCCATCACGTGCCTTTTCCCTTCAATTTTCCAATATTGTCCCTCCTACCCGATCGTCTTCCACCTTTGCCAAAAAGGACTAAGACTTCAAAACTAGAAGTTTCTTTCCATATGAACTTCACATCCAACTATGGTATGATAGTTGGAACTCTCCGATCTCATGCTATACTATTTCTTGCTATCTTCCTTTTGGAGAGGAAAGTGCAAAGCCTTTAAAAATAGTGGAAGAGTTTTGACTTTCTAAGCAGCAGCATGTATTTCAATACACATACGGTAGATTTTTATTTTCTATCTTTAATTTGAGGTGATGATGCAAGGTTTGTTTTTAAAATGTGACTCCAACTTCGGT